GTTGACTTTGGCGCCAAGCCTAGTGAGCCAAATATATTTGAAAAACGTAAGCTCGTAACCCAACTAGATGCCAACCCAGCTAATGCCGCTAGTCCGCCTTCTATGAGGCGGCCCTCTGATACAACTGGCTTGCCATCGGTCAAAGCTAGTATGGCTTCATACTCTGCCTGTGAGATTGGCTGAAATCGCGTTAGTTGGCGCGGCTCTGTAGACTCTGTAGAGATGCAAATGGAAAGTAGCTATAGCAAATTTAATAAAAAGCAAAATAAGCTTCCGCCTACCTGCTCTAACACCGGACGATAGTAAGCCAATAACCGCCACTAACAATGCGTGCTGAATTAACATGCTTAACTTGAAACAGCTAACTGAATACGAGCAACACTTTTACCGGACCATTTATAGCTTCGCATCAACATCTGGCTTTTGCACTCTTGCCCTTTGTTATTCTAATTGACTTTCATTCATGCGAAAATATATAAATATAAGCCCAGTTTGTGTGTCTTCTGCTATTGTTTTGTAATAGTTTTGTGCTTTTCTTTCAGTTCATTTATAAATACTGTATTTGTTTGACTGACCTACTTTTTCATAATAGAAATAGCGGCTATGTCGCCTTTCGTACATTCCTTTTCAATCCATCTTCATTTCGCCGAATTGACAGTTAGAAAACTTTTTTGTTTAGAATTGTTTGGATGAACTTTAACTTATGAACACAGCTCTGTGTAGATTCTCATAAATTCTTCTTGTGGATTATGATGAAGTGGGTCACAAATATAAAATTTGAAAAAACTTGTAGTTTTCTATAATTTAAGAATAGAATCAAAGCCATTAGCTATGATGATGGCGGTGCCACGCCCATTTTCCAAAATTTTACCATAAACGTATTTCTTGGTAAAGAATTGTTGCGAGCATCAATTTTGAATAAGTGAGCTTTAATATTTACTGATTCATCGAAGATTTCGTATTTCACCAAATTTTAAAAATTCTCAATCATTTGGTATGCTGTACCAAGGCCAACAACTTAGCCAGGTTTAGAAGAAATTGGTGCAGCGGTCACCAAGATATGCACATGTAACCATAACCATGTGGCCGTGGCTACGCCAATTTTCCGAAAATTTATAATAATCTTATTTTTCACCTAAAACTTATTGCAAATCTCAATTTTGAGTGAATAATCTTCAGTAGTTACTAAAATATCGCAGTTTTCGTATTTCTGGAATTACCGTTATATGGGAAGTGGGCGTGGTTACAGTGCGATTTCGCCCATTTTCAATACCATCCGTCCTACGCCCGAAAGAAGTGCACGTACAAAGTTTCGTTAAGATATATTAATTTTTACTCGAGTTATCGTGTGCACAGACGGACGCACGGACAGAGAGTCACCGCTTAATCGATTTCTCTTATCATTCTGATCATTTGTGTATACATTTGTCTATATCTATCTCGATTCGTTTTGCCCGTTACAAACAACCGTTATGTGAACAAAGTTATAATACCCTTGTGCACAAGTACGCTCGGGTATAAAAAGGCTTATCCAAAAGTTGTAAAGTGATAAGCCTATTGTGCAATTGGGCCCAGACATAGAAGGACTTGGCTTCATTGGCGTCAGGTGGCCCAGCAGAGAAACGACTGGCGTGCTCTGTTGGACTTGACCAAAGTTGCTAAGGTGGTCACAGCGTGAATAAAGAAGAAGTAGGTTGTAAGGGAGAAAAGTATCCAGTCGATTGTCAAGCTGCAACAGGCTTTACAGACTGTCATGGGGTACAAGACCATGCTCATTTTGCATGATCCTAAGTAACTCTTAATTCAGGTAGGTGTATCGACAGGACATTGCCCAGAGGGTTCGCACTATTTAACTTGTCCTATTCAATGGAATTAAAGTCTATATCACTTTTGTTCCGTCAGCATATTTTTCATCTTAGTACGAGTATAAAAAGTCCAAATTTAAAGCGATGCTCCGGAGAATAAAAAAACAGACTTGTGCGCGAGAATGTATATGTATGAAGCAAGTCTTGGTAAACCATATCCAAGCACACATTCCCATCCGAAGTTAATGCTATTCTAGATTAAAGAACTTTGTA